TTTTAGAAAAGAAAATCTTGTCTATTTATATTGTTGAATTTTATGCTGATAGGTTTTGTGAAACATGGTCTGGTTCAGTTATCGTTCCAAGAGTGGACGCAGCAGATGAGAGATATGCTGGAATCGAGGAAGCGAGGGGACTTTGCATTCCGTGACAAAGATTTTAAGACTGCAATCGACTGTTATTCTCAGGTATGTTTTTGAAAGGTACTTGGTTATTTGTTGGACCTTTCAGCCAGTTGGTTATTGTCAGGATGGCTTCATACCCAAACCAGTAACGCATGTTTGAAGCTTGCCTTTTCATTTTATATTCCACATCTTCATTGATTAGATATTTGTTCACTGAGACATGTATTTCAGGCACTTTGTTTTCATTTTTGTCAATGAGTTACAGAGCATATCAGTTTTCTCAGCAAATGATGTTCTATTATTTAGTTTCATGCAGTGCACAGAACAGCTCCACTTTTCTCTATGTGCTAACAGGCACAAGCATTAGCAAGACATAAGATTTTTGAAACATATGTTCTCATAACCTTTAGCTTTGTTTTTGATGCAGTTCATTGATGTAGGAACCATGGTTTCCCCAACTGTTTTTGCTCGGCGCAGTCTTTGTTTTCTTTTGTGTGATCAACCAGATGCTGCTCTTCGAGATGCAATGCAAGCACAGTGTGTTTATCCAGATTGGCCAACAGCCTTCTACATGCAGTCAGTTGCCCTTGCTAAACTTGACATGCACAATGACGCTGCTGATATGTTGAATGAAGCTGCTGCATTAGAAGAAAAGAAGCAAAGAGGTGGAAAAGGATCATGAGAATAAGATATATAATAATAATAGTAGTAGTAGTAATAATAATAATAATAAAATATCCACACACCACCACCACTGTCATCGAGGCTACCCCAAGTTTGTGTAAAATTTGAGCTGTGAATTGAATTTGTTTTCATCAATGTAATGTAGAGAAGAAAAGAAAAAAACACTTGCTCATTAATGCATGTATAATTTTTCCCGTTCTACTGGGATTCTGAAGATCTGATTTGTTCTTTGATGGAGCTTTTGTTGCAAGTTTTTCAATGAGCCTGGTTTTGGAAATATGTTATGTGGAGACGACCTTCGGGTTGGTTTCTGCTTTACTTGTATTTATGAGCTTGATCCTTAGTAGTTGAATTGTTTTGGATATCTTGATTAACCCCAAATCAAAGAATCTGTTAAGTTCAAGTCTATTAGATTTAGGCTAAGGTAAGATTATAGCTGTGGATAATGAAGCTGCCAGGGAAGAAAATGAGAAATGTAATCTTGTGGTCTTTGTCGGCCGCTGAACTCAAGTGCAACCCAATCGCATTTCACTAAATCTGCTACTTCTGCCCTCCTGTTTTCATGTAATTTGGACTAATCTGCTCTAAGTCGTAGCTGCCTCTTAAACCCAAAATTATTACAATATTGGCCTTCCTTGCACACCAGCATAATGTTGCTCTTTTCCCTGGACTGAAGTACCGGATCCATGAAATGATTTATCGTGAAATATGAAGTTGTCTGAAGAAAGATATTATTTATTATTATTATTATTAGTTAAACTTGGTCTGTGTGGACTAAATTGATAACATTATATGGATTCATCGCATTGCATCATAAGCAGCAGCACATGGTTTGAAGAAAGCATGGGTGGTGGGCATCGGGTTTTTTTAACAAGTGAATCAATTCATTAGCAAAGTATGATTTGCAATGATTTTATAGTTATTTGACTGAAAATATTGAGAAAGGAGGCTCTTGTTTTGATCATGCGCCTAGAAAAGCCTTCAATGCCCTCTTCAAGATCTACTCATAGTTGATGATGATGCTGAGGGGGCATGTGAATCTCTTACTCTGCCAATGCACTCATCACAAGGTGAGATGATGGGTGAGGTGTCACAACTCGATTCTTGAATTCATGAACAGCAATACAAACGTTGCACCTTAACATGTTTTATTTGCGATATAACTCACAACTTACGTATTTAATTTCATAAAAATCATAAAATAGCATAGCATAAAATAAAATATTCAAAACTAAAGAATTTAATAAATAAATTAAAATTTGATTCTTTCATAAATAATCCAAAACGAATTCAAAACATAATTAAAATCATTATACGGAGTATCTATTAATAATAAATAAAAAATAAACTAATATATTGAAAAACAAACGAGGTATATTGACTGAAAAACTAAAAAGAATATAACCAAAAGTTAATACATGCTAATATATATTGTAAGATAAGTGAATGAAGTTATATAAATTAAATATCAAAAGAAATAAGTATATCAGATGTATATATCAAATGGTGTACAAAAGAAGTACGCATATCGTAATTCCATATCATATTACTTAGGGCTATTGCTTGTTGCTTCAGTGGTAGCAAGAATAACTAGTTGACACAATCATGCAAATCCTGAAGGCTGCTTGGTTTTCTACCCAAGGATGATAAGGTAGAGGCTGTTGAATCCTATAATAGATCGTGCAGAACAACAGGTAAGGAAGGACAACTTGTATAGAAGATAATATTTTATTGATTGCATAACTCCCTGAAATAGAGTTTTTAAAACAAACAAATCTGCTGATCACACAACAAACTTCCAATAACAAAACAAAATAAAAACAAAATTTATTCTCAAAAACTTGGTCTTCAAGTATAAATCTTTTCCTCAGCAACCCTTCTGATCTTTTGCAGTTTTTAAAGCATTCTTTCAACAGAGGCACCTTCAGAAGCCCTTGATCTGCATAAATGCTGATCAAGCTGAGTGATGATTGAGGCATAAATGCTCATCAAGCTGAGTGATGATTGGGTTTAATCTAGAGGGAAAACTGTTAGAGCCAGCATGGATGCCGGTTTTTGTGGTTAGAAGATGAAGCCTTTTTTCTTTCTCAAAGGGGAGATTAAAGAAGGTGAATATGAAATATCGTCTTGTTATTTGCCTTTCTTGTGTTATCATTGCCTAAATATACACCGCGGAGTTAGGGAGACACGAGGAATCTCTTCTACACGATTTCGATTTGGATAAAAAATTCATATCAGTTATGTTTGCCAATGCCTCCTCCCTCACCACATCTCCAACTCACAAGACAACTACCATAGCCCATTGACAGAAGATAAGGTATAGTTCTGACCTAATTATCGCGCACATGAATGGCTTTGACACCAATTTTCTAGATACAGGTGGCCTGGCAACGTCCATTTTTCAGGCATGCCTGCACGAGAGAACTGTTTGAAAATCAAATTGGTCATATAAAAATTCATGTAAACATGCAAGTCCTTTATAAAATTCTTAAGTCACAGGTCTGGTTGTTGCTCAACAGCCAGGCAAGATCCGCATACATGATTTGGTGATGCCTCTCTGCTATATTAGAATTTAAATATTACTGCGAGGCCAGCAATTACCTTTGTTGGTTTTTTGAACTAGGAAGACAGAAACTAGAGAGAAAAGTTGAGTGAAATTTTCCAGCCTTTCATATCTGTTCTACCACTTGTAGGTTACATAACTGATAATACATAGAGAAAGCTAGGAAGAGACAGTTCTACACATGGACGTCAATACCTGACGCAGCTGAACCTAATCATATTAGGATTAGAACAAAGAAGACATAATTTCTGAAAATGATCTAAAGCAAGAACCCTAACCGTGTTTTATTACTAAATAATTTATTCTCTGATTGTTTGCCTCTCCAAAAAGATTTACAAGAAATTAATGACCATACAAAGAAGAAAAATTAAAAATCTAAATAGATAGGAGAAATAAAAACAAAATTAAGGTTAGAAATCCAAAATTAAATAGAAAAATAATAAAACTGAATCAAACAGTATCTTCTAACCCTTTTACAAGGCCTTCCCCATGTCATCCATTGAAGTGGGCTGCCCCCCTATAGAACGCAGCTAATAGAATTTCCTGTCAAAATTTGAGGGTAATCAAATAGTTAAATAAAAAATTATAATTTTTTTTTTAGATATATTATTTGGTATGATTAGATCTCTTCTTGAACTTAAGATATGATCCACTTATCTTTGCTATTATAACAGATCCATATACAAATGTTCAGATCCCCTGCATCGATTCCAAATCTGACAGACTTTTAGCTTTTATTTAGCAGCTTGTGCAAAACCATCTCCTGCAATCTCAAACCATACTCCATACACATCAGGTTTTATATCAGATTAGGTCCCAAAATATCAGTGCATACTACTTGCATACATACAGTCCACATACTAAACATAAACTGTAGAATATTTAGAAAAAGCTTTCATTATTCTGACAATCTATTGTCAAAGATTTTATCTGCTGAGACAATACAGTCTTGACAGTAACCATACTGACGTAAATTTCAAGAAAACTTAGCAGTGCAGCATTCATAATTGGCCTAATATTTCAGAACTCTTAAGAGTACTTCCAAGTTGCAATAGAAAAGTTCACTAATTTATTTTCCCAAAACGCAAGTGCAATTAGCTTGTCCCAGGCATTAAGAAATTGAATCCAAATATTTTGCATTCAATTGTTTTGGGAATTTTGCATTGAAAATATCTTTTTAATTGAAAATTATTATTTTTTTTCATATTGAACTAAAGATAGGAAGATAGTTGAGACAGAGTAGACATGTCTCATTGTCATTTCTGTTTTAAAGAACAAAAAAATCATTTCAAAACTGTCTTATAAATATATTTATTTTATATCTCTGTTTTTATTTTTTTAATTAAACATGTTTATGGGTTTTTTTTTATAGTTTTTCCTTGTATTCTAAAATCCTAATTAAACACAAATTAGAGTAATGAATAATTTTTAAGTGAGTGCAAATTAAATGTAATGAATAATTTTTGGCTTAAAAAATGGATGTCCTAAAACCATAATAGAAAGAACCTCATAAGGAGCATATATATATAGTTTCATAAAAAGTATGTGAATTATATATATAAAAATATTTACAAGTATATTTCATCCATTGACAAAGTATGATTTTGGCTGATTTTGCAGGCCACTAACTGAAAATATTGAGAAAGGAGGCTCTAGTTTTGATCATGCGCCTAAAGATGCCATCAATTCCATCTTTAAGATCTTCAATGCACAACTCCAAATTGTTTAGCTTCTTTTGCACATCCATCATCTTATCTGTTTTGCAGCTGATAAGAGATTGTAAAGCAGAATCAGCCATTGCAAATCCAATCTCATTTGTTTCTTCTTCCTCACATGCTATTCTGTGGTGTTTCATCAGCTTGGAAACCAATGACCAGCCGCTTTTCTTTGCATGTGACTTTGGTTCGGAAATGAATGAGAGTAATGATTCGAACACGGCAAGACTGATGGACTCAACCTCTCTTAACATGATAATCTCAGGGTACTCTTCATTAGAGAAGGTGCGCCTGTTTTCCATGCCCTTCAAGCTCCTCAAGGCCTTTTTTATTGACTTCTTTAGTACTTTCCTGGATGCCATGTATTTCCTGATCTCGCTGTCAACGCCTCCTTGTCTTCTGCGAATAACAGATTGAAGCTCACGAATGAATTCTTTTGATTGCAACAGTGCATCCTGGGTAGAGTTGCACGTATCCAAGAGCCTGAGAGATCCCTCTAGGAGCTCATCGACACATTTCTGATTGCGTTGTTGTGCCAAGCCTTGTTGGGTAAGTGGCAGTTGTAGGAAATTATCAACAGAATCATACAAATCCTGAAGGCTACTTAGTTTGTGTCCTATTGATGATGATGAAGATGATTTAGAGGTGTCCTGTGAATCTCTTACTCTGCAAATATTCTCATCAAATTCCGAAATGATTGGATGTGGTCTAGAGGGTAGACTGTTGGATCGAGCATGGAAGCTAGTTTTCTGACGGATAGGGAAGGCAGCCATTTTTATTTCTTTCTTGTGGAAAAGAAGTTTTGATGGCTGAAAATATTGATTCAATTCTTTGTGCTTTCCATCTGTTGACATCTACTGAATATATATTGGGGTGAGGGAGACACGAGGAATCTCATCCTCTTCAACTATTAAAGGCGGTAACATGTTTCAGAAAATCGCAGCCCTGATGTCTACGCATTGTCTCTTGCTCAATAATTCAGCAACTCTCTTGAATTGAATACTAGCATTTCATCTGCAACACATGAGTGGTCATTTATTAATTCATACAATGCTAAGTCCTGAAATCTCTATTGGGATAAAGGAAGACAAGATCCGCAACTTTGGCTTCAGTATCTCTAGCCAATTTGTAGCATAACGATAAGAACTCGGGGTAGCCGCTGAATAACATCGCTGGATGATTCCACTTTCCCCCTAGACGAAAGACAGCCATCTAATTTTTCATTGCTTTCAATATGCTGAAATTTGAGTCTAACATGAGAGTTCCATTAAATGTCATTTGGTGCTGAATGATTAAGATTAAACAATATTTATGAGCTAAGAGAGCAAAATTTGAGGTTAGATTAACAGACTTATTTACGAGTCTACCATGTTAATTTTGCTGTATTAATCTTTTACGAGACCCTGTCATCTTTCAGCACCCTTATGTTCTTAAAATATTTAATTAATTAGAATTTACATCTGTTTTTGTCCCTTGCCATCAGCATAGAGGCAATCCTATTGAAAATTGCACTTTCATTCAACTTCTACAAAAAGAGGCCGTGGTAAATGCAAGAAAAGGTTGTCAGAATAATGAGATTTTTTTCTAAATACTCTGCAATATATGTTTATTATGTGGACCGTTGTGTGCATGCAGGTACTATGTACTGATATTTTGGGACCTAATCTGATATATATGGAGTATGGTCTGAAATTGCAGGAGATATGATTTTGCGCAAGCTGCTAAGTAAAGGCTAGAAGTCCGTCAGATTAGGTATCGACTTCCATGTGTAGAACTGTCTCTTCCTAGCTTTCTCTATGGATTATCAGTTATGTAACCTGCAAGTGGTAGAACAGATATGAAAGACTAGAAAATTTCACTCAACTTTTCTCTATACTTTGTCTTTCTTGTTCAAAAAACCAACAAAGATAAAAAAAAAAAAAAAAAAAAAAGGGAAGAAAAAGAAATATAGAATCTGCTTCAATATCTTGAATGCACAATTCTAAGTTCTCGAGTTGAGTTTGAACACCCTTGATGTTATCAGACTTGCTTGTGTTCTGATCTACCAAGGCTAATAATGCCGCATCTGCTTTAGCGAACTCATTTATATCAGCTTCTTGATCTGCAGCTGCTACTTTTTTATGGTGCACCAGCTTGGAGACTAATGACCAACCAGTAGTCCTTGCCTCTGGTCCAGAGATGAAGGAGAGAAGGGAATCAAACGCTTTGAGAGAAACTACTTCAACCTCTTTCAACATGTTAAACATGATTGTAGTTTCACGGTCACCATCAAAGGCGGTGAAGGTGCAGTTTTTTTTAATAACCTTCAAGGCCTTGTGAATTGCCCTTTTCACTACCTTCCTAGAGGTTAAATATTTCTTAACCTCACTTGTAAGACTAGTTTCAACATAACCTCTCCTGCGCAAAATCGATTGAAGTTCATGTACGCTTTCTTTTGTTTGCAACAAGGCATCTTTTGCAGTATTACACAAATCCAGGACCTGAAGAGATCCATCTAATAGCTCTTCAATCAATTTACCATTATTCTCTTGGGCTATTGCTTGTTGGTTCAGCGGTAGAAAAAGTAACTTGTGGACACAATCATGCAAATCCTGGAGGCTGCTTAGTTTGCCACCCAAGGATGATGAGGTACAGGCACCTTCAGAAGCCCTCGATCTGCATAAATGCTCATCAAGCTGAGTGATGAATGGGTTTAATCTAGAGGGAAAGCTGTTAGAACGAGCATGGAAACCGGTTTTTTGGTTAGAAGATGAAGCCATTTTTCTGTCTCAAAGAGTAGAGACTAAAGCTGGTGAATGCGAATTATCAATCCTTGAATCTTCCTTTCTTACGTTGCAATTTCCAAAAATATATATCAAGAGGTGAGGCAGACAAGAGGAATCTCAATAACATGATTCTGTTTTGGATATTCATTTATTATCAGCTATGTTTGTCAATGTCTCATCCCCAGCCACATCTCCAACTCATTAGGCAACAACTATTGCTAATCTAATTATCACACACGAATGGCGTTGACAGCAATTTTCTAGATAGAATTGGCCTGGAAATGTCCATATTTCAAGACATTTCTGCACCAGGGGACTAATTGTTCTATCTGCTTTCGACCACAGGGTTATATCATAAATCCTGATAACATGCAAATTGTTAATAAATTTTTTAAATGATAAACCTGATTGTTGCTCAACAAGCAGGCAAGATCCGCATACTTGATTTATCAGCCTTCGCGCGGTGTTTGACTTTAGAAATTAATGTGAGGCCTGTGAGAGAACGTGGTGGACGGTTCGAATGTCTCTGTGCAGCTTAGAGCATGATAAATAACCTTGCGAATAGAAGTGTATGAATTTAAAGTTTAAGTACAGAAAATATTTTCCGTTCTGAGATTACAACCACAAGATAACTTTTGGAAGAAGAGAATGATTTCTTTGTGATTCTGGACGTGATAGACATTGGAACTGTAAATTGGCGATCATTCTATATTATTTTCACTTTAAAAAAAAATTAAATAAAAAAAAATTAGGGGAAAGGCATAAGCAAATTAAGAAAAGAGACAAGATTTGCTGAAAAGTTCATGTATATTTGTCTATATTTCATTCATGTACAAAGATATTTACATCTAGTTTACAAAGGAGTTGAGAAGAGAGACTCTAGTTTTGATCAAACGCCTGTAAAGGTTTTCGAGTCCTTCTTCAAGTTCTTGATTGCACAAATCGAAATCTTTGAGCTGCTGCTGCACATTCTCAAGAGACCCTGTGTTGTAAGATTTGCTGGTCTTCTGATAAATGAGAGAGTGCAATGCAGAGTCCAGTTTTTCAAATTCATTCACTTCTGTTTCCTCTGCCTCACAAGCTATTCTTTTGTGATGCATTAGCTTGGACACCAAGGACCATCCACTTAGCTTTGATTGTGCTTTTTCCCCTCCTGAGATGAGAGTCATGAGAGATTCAAGCACAGTGAGAGTGACTGCTTCCACCTCTTTTAGCATACTAACTACAGCTACAGCTTCATTGTCTTTGTTGAAGGGAGAGAGTGAGGATTTATTATCCAAATATTTCAAACCCCTCAAGGCCTTGTGGATTGTATTTTTCACCACTTTCCTAGAGGTCAAGTATTTCTTAATCTCACTTGAGACTCCAATTTCATTTCCCCTTCTTCTCCTCATGATTGATTGAAGTTCCTGAGCACATTCCTTTGTTTGCAACAAGGCATCTGTAGCCACGCTACAGACATCCAAGACTCTAAGGGATCCGTCCAATACGTCATCGACCCATTTCTCATTCTGTTCTTGGGCTAAAGATTTTTGAGTGAGGGGAAGCAGAATCAACTTATCAACACAATCATGCAAATCTTGAAGGCAACTTAGTTTGTGGCATATAGATGATGTTGAAGAAGAGGAGGATATTACTTGAGAAGCATTCAATCTGCTGAAATGCTCATCGATTTGTGAAGATAGAGGATGTGGCCTAGAAGGCAAGCTGTTAGAGCGAGCATGGTGGAGAGCCATTTGTTTTCTTTAGAAAAGAGAAGGCCAAGAAGTTGAATTGCTATCCTTGCTCATATCAGCTTGAATATATATTCCAAGGCGAGGGAGACATGACGAATCTCGAAAGCTTCGTATAATGAACCAGTAGTCATGTGATTCAGATTCAGATCTAACACCATCAGCAATGTTTATGCAATGTCTCCCTCCAGCCTGATCACCAACTCATAATACACATTTGGTAATGATTTTTATACAATCTGAAACACACGAATGGTTTCGACTTCAATTTCTATAATACAACCGCACGTAAACAGGAACTTATTTTAAGTGACTGCATTAATTATGATCTTAACAGCTAATTTTAATTTATCGTAGAAGAGATCCGTAATCGCCATCAAGGCCATGTTTTATATCGCTGCCTCCTCCCCACCATCTCTCCAACTCATTGTGCCGAATATTTTAACTCAAATATCACACAATTTCATTGGCATTAGTGGTAATGTTGTATGATATAAGGAACTTCCATCTAAAATATGAAGACACACGAGTGGGCTTCGCATGTCAATTAACGATAACATGGTCTTGATTTATGTTCAAGTGGTATCCCGGCAATATTCAGGCAATGTCTTGTCTCGTCCCCACCAGCTCCAACTCATGAATTGAACATTTACAGATGAATGATGCACGACTGGATTTGAAATTTCCAATATGTATGACAAGAGTGTACAATTGAGACACCCGTATGGTGACAAGTCATGTCTTCCAATTATGGTTAGCAGTACTTGGTGTATTGTTTATACTCAGAACAGTCGTAGGATTAATGAGCTCCATCCGCTCTAAAACTTGCTTAATTTACAGAAGAATACAGAATATTCATTGTTAGATAAACAAGTTAATGATATACCGAGGAGCTAAACGAGTGTATGTCCTGTAATTAAGAAATCTGAAGGGGTGTCCAATCAAAGAATGTGGAGTGCAGGAGAAGATGCAAAAAGAATTTGACTTTCTTCTGAATGAATAGATGATCAATCGATTCCATCAGGGGCATTATCTGATTTCCTCAAAAACGAGTTCCTATAATCATACTTGAAAATCATCAACATTTTGAGCATTCCTAGCTCACATCAATGCCGAAGGAGATTCCTTCCTACATCGTCCATGCTTCCATATGATCTGGGTCATACAATAGCAACCAAGCCACGCACCCATTGCTAGCGATGATAATCTCATTTTAGCTGTCCAATATCATCTGATCTAGTTGGATTGAATTCTAATTCAATTCAGTTTGTTTCAATTCCTCAGTGCGACGAGCATGTGTCTAGATTGTCGTTTTTTTTTTTTTTTTTTGTCAGAGTTTATATAGTTACTGTAGTAGCTAAAGTGTCAGGTGTCACGATCTTCAATTGATTTGGCAGCTGGCTCTGTTCCAAGTTATGCTCTGCTAAAGTCAAATCACCACTCACCAGCTTGTGCTTGTGTCTCTGATCCAATACTGCAGCAGGGACAGTCGGACCATATCCAGCACATTTACTTACTGGCCTCATGGTAAAATCTCTACAACTTGGACGTTTACATGGATTTTTTTATATGACTATTTGATCTGCCAACAAATGAAACAAATAGTCCTCTTGCAGACACGCAGCAAAAGATGGTCATTGCCCAGCCACTTAAATTAAGGGAATTGGTGTCAGTGCCACTCGTGTGCGATAATTAGGCTAGTGCTTTACATTGTCTTTTCTGTTGGTTGTCTTATGAGTGGGAGCACTGCGAAAGGAAACATTGACAAACATAGCAGATATGATTTTTTGAAGAAAATCGAAATCATGTTAATGAGATTCCTCGTCTTTGGCACCCCATGATGTATATTTAGGCAGCCAACACACGAAAGGCAAATCAAAAGATGCCTTGTTGCAAACAAAATAACGCTTACAAGAACTTGGATCGAGAGGTTATGGTGAAATTGGTCTTACAAGTGAGGTTAAGAACTATTTAACCTCTAGGAAGGCTGAAGAAGGCAATTTACAAGGCCTTGGAGGATATAAAAAATAAATGCACCTTCTCTATCTCTAATAGAGATAATGAAACTACAACCATGCTTTGCATTCTAAAAGAGGTTGAAGCAATCTCTTTCAATGTGTTGGAATCCTTGATCAGCTTCTCTGGACCAAGGATAAGGACTCCTGGTTGGGCATTAGTCTCCAAGCTGGTGCACCAGAATCTTTAAACGGAAAATATCTCTGATCAATCTGAACTTAAATTTTAAATTCCATGTCTAGGCTGCACAAAGACAGTAGAACCGTCCAGCAAATTTACTTACCCGCCTCAGTGATTTCTAAACTCTAACTTAGTGCGAAGGCTGATAAATCAAGTGTACATATTTTACCTGCTTGTTGAGCAACAATCAGGCCTGTCATTTAAGAATTTTATAAACAACTTGCACGTTTACATGAATTTTTCTGCAACCATTTGATCGCAAGCAGAACAAGTAGTCCCCTCGTGCAGAGATTTGTCTTGAAAACATGGACATTTCCAGGCCAATTCTATCTAGAAAATTGCTGTCAACGCCATTCGTGTGTGATAATTAGATTAGCAATAGTTGTTGCCTAATGAGTTGGAGATGTGGCTGGGGATGAGACATTGACAAACATAGCTGATAATAAATGAATATCCAAAACAGAATCATATTATTGAGATTCCTCTTGTCTGCCTCACCTCTTGATATATATTTTTGGCAATTGCAACGTAAGAAAGGAAAATTCAAGGGTTGATAATTCGCATTCACCAGCTTTAGTCTCTACTCTTTGAGAAAGAAAAATGGCTTCATCTTCTAACCAAAAACCCGGCTTCCATGCTCGTTCTAACAGCTTTCCCTCTAGATTAAACCCAGTCATCACTCAGCTTGATGAGCATTTATGCAGATCGAGGGCTTCTGAAGGTGCCTGTACCTCATCATTCTTGGGTGGCAAACTAAGCAGCCTCCAGGATTTGCATGATTGTGTCCACAAGTTACTTTTTCTACCGCTGAACCAACAAGCAATAGCCCAAGAGAATAATGGTAAATTGATTGAAGAGCTATTAGATGGATCTCTTCAGGTCCTGGATTTGTGTAATACTGCAAAAGATGCCTTGTTGCAAACAAAAGAAAGCGTACATGAACTTCAATCGATTTTGCGCAGGAGAGGTTATGTTGAAACTAGTCTTACAAGTGAGGTTAAGAAATATTTAACCTCTAGGAAGGTAGTGAAAAGGGCAATTCACAAGGCCTTGAAGGTTATTAAAAAAAACTGCACCTTCACCGCCTTTGATGGTGACCGTGAAACTACAATCATGTTTAACATGTTGAAAGAGGTTGAAGTAGTTTCTCTCAAAGCGTTTGATTCCCTTCTCTCCTTCATCTCTGGACCAGAGGCAAGGACTACTGGTTGGTCATTAGTCTCCAAGCTGGTGCACCATAAAAAAGTAGCAGCTGCAGATCAAGAAGCTGATATAAATGAGTTCGCTAAAGCAGATGCGGCATTATTAGCCTTGGTAGATCAGAAAACAAGCAAGTCTGATAACATCAAGGGTGTTCAAACTCAACTCGAGAACTTAGAATTGTGCATTCAAGATATTGAAGAAGGTCTTGAATACCTTTCCAGGAATCTGATCAAAACTAGAGTCTCTTTTCTAAACATCCTAAACCAATAACCGGAACAATCTTGATATAGTCATACTTGTACATTGTAGAATTACACTTGTATTATTCCATAGATAATGAAATGATCATATACTCAGTTGCTCAAATTGTGTCCCGGTGTGTTCTATATATATATATATATATATTATCTTTATTGGTTTTTTGAACAAGAAAGACAGAAAGTAAAGAGAAAAGTTGAGTGAAATTTTCTAGTCCTTCATATCTGTTCTACCACTTGCAGGTTACATAACTGATAATACATAGAGAAAGCTAGGAAGAGACAGTTCTACACATGGAAGTCGATACCTAATCTGACGGACTTCTAGCCTTTACTTAGCAGCTTGCGCAAAATCATATCTCCTGCAATTTCAGACCATACTCCAGACATATCAGATTAGGTCCCAATATATCAGTACATAGTACCTGCATGCACACAACAGTCCACATAATAAACATATATTGCAGAGTATTTAGAAAAAAATCTCATTATTCTGACAACCTTTTCTTGCATTTACCACGGCCTCTTTTTGTAGAAGTTGAATGAAAGTGCAATTTTCAATAGGATTGCCTCTATGCTGATGGCAAGGGACAAAAACAGATGTAAATTCTAATTAATTAAATATTTTAAGAACATAAGGGTGCTGAAAGATGACAGGGTCTGGTCAAGATTAATACAGCAAAATTAACATGGTAGACTCGTAAATAAGTCGGTTCTTCTAACATCAAATCTTGCTCTCTTAGCTCATAAATATTGTTTATTCTTAATCATTAAGCATCAAATGAGATTTAATGGAACTCACATGTTGACTCAAATTTCTGCATATCGAAAGCAATGAAAAATTAGATGGTTGTCTTTTGGTTAGGGGGGAAGTGGAATCATCCAGCAAAGTTATCCAGTCATTACCCGCAGCTCTTATCGTTACGCTACAACCTGGCTAGACACACTGAAGCCACTGATGTGGATCTTGTCTTCGTGTTCACCGACAGAGATTTCAGTACCTAGCATTGTATGCATTGATAAATGACCACTCGTGTGTTGCAGATGAAATGCTAGTCTGATTAAAAATAAATGCACCTTCTCTATCTCTAATGGAGATCACGACTCAAGTTCCAGGACATTGAAATTAGATGGCTCTCTTTTGGTTGGGGGGGAGTGGAATCATCCAGCGAAGTTATTCAGCGGCTACCCGCAGCTCTTACCGTTACGCTACAATTTGGCAAGAGATACTGAAGCCAACGTTGCGGATCTTGTCTTCCTGTTTCCCAACAGAGATTTCGGGACTTGGTATTGTATGCATTAATATTGAATCGGATCAAATCCTATTTGCATATCACTTAAAACCCATTTCGACCCTTTTCTTTTTCAAAATCATTTTAACTTTTTTTTAAATAATACCATTTGTAATTCATTTTATTTAACATTTTTAATTCAGTAACCCAAATTCGAGTCCAAGCTAGTCATGTGTTATGTTAGGTGTTGAACGTGTTTAGTATTATGGTAATAATTGTTTTTAAAATAATGTGTTATGTTAGGTGTTGAACGTGTTTAGCATTATGGTAATAATTGTTTTTAAAATAATTTTTATTTAAATAATATTTTTTTTATTTTTTGAACTTTATTTTTAAAATTAACCCATTTAAAAATCATTAAAAATTAATAAATTTAAAGTAAAAAAAATATTTTTTTATATACGCTTTTAAAATGCAAAAACAAGCATGTTTATAATAATTTTGTTTTCAATCATATTTTTAAGTATATATAAGTTTAATATTAGTTATTTAATCAGAAAATGATTAGAAAATTTAAATTTAAATTAATATTTTAAAAAATAATTACTACTGTAATATTAAATTAACTGGACACTAAATATATCACATTAAATGGCAATTATAACTAGATGAAGTTTACAAAAATGACCCCTTCCATAAGAATTTGGAAGACCATGTTCTCAAATTAATATTTGATACCATAAGAAGAGGAAGTCCTACAAGGAAAGTAGCAAATTCTAATGTTTGTAATGATGGCAATCATGTTCATTCTATTTTTTTTCTAAAAAAAAAAGGCCGGAAATTATTGGTTTCGCTAATTTGTCGTTATGGCAACATATTTTGTGTATTGAGTTCGTGAACAAAGACATGGCGGTTCTTTTTTCTGTAATAAGTCACATGGTTGTTTGATGCCAAGTCACGTGGTTCAAGAAAAACAATTTTTTTCCCCTTTATCTAAATTAATTCATAGAAAATGTTTTTTTCCTTTTTTTTTCTTTTGGAAGGAAGCACATTGTTCTTGATTTTGTATCAAGTGATTAAAAAAAAAATTGCGACGGCGTTGTTATTTGTTTTTTGTTTTGTTTGAATTAACATATGCTTATATCATGATAGATTGACGAAAAGGATATGGATCCCATCTCCTATGATGATGATTACATTAGTTTTTTTTTAAAATATATTATTGTATTACTATTATTTTTTCTTTTCATTATCACAATCACTTTTATTATTTTTACTAAAGATGAAATTATTGTTTTACTAATTATTATTTTTTATCTTAAAATTCAGTTTAGAAATCTTAAATTCCATTCTCATTCCTTATTGGTATTTCGAAAACAGCATGATAATTAAAATCTCATCACGATTCCCTAATTTTCATTTCGATTCATGCAATCTCATTCTTAACTTTTCATTCCTGGTAACCCAATGATTTAAAGAACTTTGAACTCTCAATTTATTTTCAAGAAAAATTAAAAGAAAAGCTCATATGCACTTAATCAATCTAATTTCTTTTTTCTTTGTTTATTTCTTGGAAGTAAGTTGTGGTGTAGATGGGACAAAGATGACACTTATGTTATCGTTTTTCCATGTAAAACAACAAGGCTCACATGCAATTAATCAATCTGATTTATTAATTGGGATCAATAGGGGTACTCAATACCCATCCCAGGAGGTGATATATGGCCAAGAAGTAGAGCCAGCAACACAGGTTGTCTGAAATCCTTACAGTGGCCATTGATAGTAATTGGAATCTCAATTATGGTCATTTCTTTAGCCGGTTTTGCTGGCGTGTGCTATTGAAACAGTTTTTTTTATATGGATTTACCTATTTGTTATGTTCTACATCATCACCGTACTTTTATGGATCATCATCTTTACCTATGTGATCACCGATAAACAGTCGGGCAGCCCAGTCTTGAATCGTGCGTATTCTAACTATTATCTGCAGGACTATTCAGGGTGTTTGAAGGACCGAGTAGCTAGTGATAACTACTGGCACAAAATTAGCTCTTGTATACGAGATTTTAAGGTTTGTGGTAAGATGGGGAGAAGTATTAGTAGCGTCCCTGAGACTACAAATATGCAGGGCCACATCCTCCCTCATCCCTCTCTCAATCGATCATCCCCTGGCTTTTCGGTCAAAATTAAAGAGTCCCTTCTCCTTCTTTTCCGGTCTATACAGAAACCACATTTTCAAAAAAAAAAAAAAAAAAACAGGTCTGGAATGGTTTTGTTTACATCATACATTAACCTATCAGGTTGATTAAATTTTATCGCGTTATATTGACTAAACTTTTAATAAACTTGAATTGATTTAATTATTAAATTGATTAAATCTCAGGTTTCTATCTAAATTTAATAACTATATTAAAAAATTAAATATATTAAAATTAATAATTTTATAAATAAACTAATATATTTTATTGTGTTTCTTGACACTGGGTTTAGTAGCTATAATTATTATTTTTCTAGTGACATGTTCAAATCTGTAGAAAGGTTTATTTGAAATATTATAGGTTAAATGACAATAAAGTTTCCTTTAATATTTATTTTTTTATCCTTTGTATTTTAATTTTTTTATCCTTTTTACTTTGAATTTTAGGAATAACGTTGACAAATATATATTTTTCTGAATATAAATAAATATCAATTAATATACAAGTTGATTCGAAAGGATTCCTAGCTCTTGAAATAAAATAAATAAGTAAATTAATTTTATATAATAGGAAGATTTTGAGGACTATTAAAAAAGAAGGAACTAGAGCTAGAAGAAAACATATACTAAAAAAAACAATATTTTTCTCTACTACAAGAAAGATGAATAGAAAATATTTTTTATAATTTTATTGATATTTTTTCTCACCAAGAAATTGGTCAACCCTTGGCCCACAACAAACACTAAATCATCTCTGATTTCCACCTTTTGAGAAGAACTTATCTAAAGTACCTGCTTTCTTGTCCTAATGTAAATAACTCCCAAATGACTTAAAATGTTATTAAAGAACATGTTCCTACATGAACCCTTGTGGTAGAATTTCAAAGCTCAATATCACTTCTTCACTCCAATGGATTTCCAACAAATTAACTCCTGTCAATACAACACTATCCCTGATCAACCGGTGTCTATCGTGCTCTGAGTGGCAGGCCAACATCAGCTGATATTTACAGACAGCAAAAGTCACGCACATGAAGCTAGAGATTAATCTATGTTATCGGGAAAAAAACGTTGAGAAAAAGAAGGCAGAAGACAGGACCCTCACTTTATTATTGCTGCATTTGTTTTTCAGCTGATTTTGCGTAGCAAGATATTTAGTAATAAATCAAATTATATTTTGCATTGCAGGATTGCAGGGTGCATTAATTGAAATGTAATTTTTGAGAAGTAGTTTTTATATTTTCTTTTGTATTTTAATCTATTTTTGAAAAAAAAATTATTTTTTATTCTTTTAAATTAATATTTTTTTATATTTTCAAATTATTTTAATACAATGATATAAAAATTATTTTTTAAAAATTATTTTAATGGATTTATAAATAAAAAACAATGTAAAAAATAACAATAATTACACTTCCAAACATAAATTAAATATTTTATATTTTTTTTTTATTAAACATAAATCTTAACTATAATTTAGTTTTATAAAACATATATTTAAATTCAACTAACCATATTTTTTATAAATTTATTTCTTAAAACCTTCAAAAACAAACACAATCCATCCTCTCTTTAATTATTACATAAATGTTAAATCCTCTTGAGGTCAGACCATTATGGTTTAAAATCATCTAGAAAAGTAATGGATTGGATAAATGAGCAGCCATCATTATTGAAATAGTCCACTGTTTTTATTAACAAGTGACAGATGTATTAAGTAGCCATGTTTCCCCTGTATATAATAATGCTGTTACGATCTCAAATTCAACAAAATCCCAAACAAGCACTTCAAAATGAAGATTTGAGCCTTGACGGTTCTCTCTCTATTGCTGTCCCTTTTCAGCTGAGCAGTGTGGAAGCCAGGTTGGGGGTGCCCTGTGTCCGGAGGTCGACGTTGTAGCCAATTTGGTTGGTGTGGCAACACTAATGATTACTGTGGTACCGGCTGCCAAAGCCAGTGCGTCGGCGGCGGCGGCGGAGGAGACCTTGGCAGTATCATCTCAATTCTCAAGTGAGAAGTTTGATGAGATGCTTAAACATAGAAATGATGGTGGATGCTCTGGCAAGGGATTCTACACTTTCAATGCTTTCATCTCAGCTGCCAGTGCCTTCTCTGGCTTTGGCACTACCGGTGATGCTGACACTCTTAAAAGGGATATCGCTGCTTTCTTGGGCCAAACCTCTCATGAAACAACTGGTTCGTTTAATCAGTCTCAAACCTAATCAATCAGCTTAGTTTATATACTTATTAACATTTTCATAACCCAATTTTGATCACTTATTAACATTTTCATAACCCAATTTTTATCCTTTGACTTTTAATTTAATTTTTATAGGATTTAAAATAAAAAAAATTAAAAAATAAAGATTTATTTCGATAAAAAATATTATTTGTCAACCTCCGTGAAAATTAAAGATTACAATATACTTTTATCATTCTATCTTTATCTTCGAGATAATTTTTATCTTCGAGATAATCCTAATCTTTAAAATAATAATAGTTATCTGCTTTCAAATTTGATTCTTAATCAAATTCAAATTTCAAATAAGAGAATGAGTTTGATTGAAACTTGGTTTCTCACACGTGAAGGGACTCTGACACTATAAATACAGATCTTAGGGGGAAAGGAAAAAAAAAAGAAGGAACCCGAGAATACAGAATTAACCTAGAAAAACAGAGCAAAAGAAATAAAAGAAGGAAGGAGGACGATTAGAGAAAAACCCTAAAAAAAAAACCTTAAGAAGAGGTCATTACTAGAAATCTTAAAAGAGAGAAACATAAAAAAGAAGGGGGGGCGAACCCTATACTAGCCATCGCCCCCTCAATCCTTTTTCTTTCAAGTCTCCATCGACTTCATCTTCAGCAGTCACATGCTTAGGTAAGTTTCCTTCTTTTCTTGCTAAAATAATTAACTGGTTACTGTGTTTGCCGGGGGTGTGCTTGGAAAAAGAGGGTAGAGAGGAGGACTAAAGGGACAACAAGAGGAAAACAGAGGAAGAGAAAATAGCATCAGCAGGCCGACCCCCCACTATCATTATCATTTTCAATTACAGCATCAGGTAAGTTTTTTTTCCCTCCTCGCAGTTTAATTACATGCTTCCTATAGCAGACCTGCGTGAGCAATTCACGCACGCCTGCTGGTAAAAATTAAAAAAAAAATGGCAAGCCGAGTCAAGCTTGTGACATTGCTAGGCCTGTTGGGTCCAGCCCAGCTCTATGGGTTGAGTTAGGCCCTACCCAAAAAAAAATATGAAAATAAAAAATATATATGCATGAATAAAAATAATATAAATTTATTGCTTTATTTACTGACGTTAGAGTCAGGAATAAAAATACCGATTTAAATTTATATTATTCTTATTCGTTGTATTTTATTTTATTTAGCTAGAAAAATAAAAAAAAATATGTGCACGTGTAAAAAAAATTACTTTTATTTATTCATTCATTGACGCTAGAGTCAGGAATAAAGGGAAAAAAGGATGATTTAAATTTATTTATTTTGATACTTACGTAATATTTACCAACACCAGAGTTGGAAATATCCGTAGTTGAATATTCACATTTGGGGCCTTCGTTGATTTATTTATGGACCCTTCGCACCTTTTTTTTTTCTCTATGTTTAAGGAGTCTCAGATCATAGAATCTTCGTTGACCAGTTAGGGTACAAAGATCAGCAATGCAGTCTGCCTTAGATAGGACATTTAATGGGTGATAAGGATGCTAGAAATCCGTTCTTTCCAAAGGTGTAATAAATTTTTAATCGGTCGCCGTGATGTACGGGTAGGTGGCGACTCCTTAAACAAAAAATATCACCATTAAAGAACAGGTTGCCAGAAATTCATTATTTCCATAGATTTAATAAATTTTTAAGGCCGCTGCAATGTTGGGTGCGATAGAATGGCGACTCCACTGGGACTTTAAGACTAAGCTTTGCTATTTGTTTTTCTTATTGATAAACATTTTTTATCGTACCATTTTTTTGCTCTTTTTATTGTTTTAACATGCATAGTTATTCATGTTTATCATGCATATATATTGGATATGGATCTAAGATCTTCACGCATCACTTATCTCATTTTTTATGTGTGGTATCAACTTTAAGATAAGTGGAGGAGTAACGGCACCCCAATGGCTTTAGCCTGGGTAAGGCTCACGAAACTATCCAACTCTCGCATGATTGTTTGCTCGATAGTGGTTGATATGCCGAACTGATATTACTTAGGGCCTCTATCTTCACACTGCTTGTAAACCTCATATCAACCTTTGGAAGGCGATTACTGAGCATGCGAAAGACCTTTGAGACTAGTTAGCAAAATTACCCTAAAGCATTTAATGATTAAAACCTATCCTTTAGGTTGATCCCTGCATAACTTTACTGAGATAAAGCTTAAACGTGTAAGCATCATTATTACAAGGCTTTTGGGTGACATAATGACCGTTATTCCTAAGACAACAACTGTTGAGCATGAACTCAAGTCTGAATCCTTGCAAATGACGAGGGAGATTGCTCTAGACTGGATGTGGGTGAGATACCGCTACTTAAAGACATTAGATGCTTAGTGAAAGACACCAAGAATATGGCTGAAAGCTCAGATGACAAAACGCTAAACAGATCTCCTCTCGGGATTGCAATGAATATCATATTCGAATCCGACCACACATTTAAAGAATATCGATCATTAAGTCACCTTTTAAAAGACAAGTCCATACCCAATATGTTGTATTCATCTTCATGCATATTTGAATATACAATTATGACCTGTCATAATACTGCACTCCAGGTGAAATATAGGTTCCCTATTGAAACACACTTGTAACACTTGATTGCGAAAAAAAGACAAATGAAAAATGAAGAAAAAGCCTAGTTGGAAGCCCAACATCGAAAAGAGATGGAAAGTCTTAGAGAAGAAGTCACAAAGCTTACTAGCCTACTCAAATAGGTCTTGAGATCTAAACAAGAAGAAGCAAAATCTACAACTTAGCCTGAACCTATGCTTGGAAATCCATAGAATCTAGGGGCAAATGAGGTGTCTCAACAGGCTATGTATTCCCAATTTGCTTAACTAGCATATCCCATAAGCATGTCATCCACCATTGACCTTATAATAAAGGAATCTCAAAAGAACAAGATAGTAAAAGAAGATGGCCTGGATAAATGGGCTGCCCTAGAACAAAGGCTGAGGGCATTTGAGGGAACTAGTTTACATGACCATATAAAAACTGTTGAGATGTGTTTGGTACCTAACGTAGTCATTCCTAGGAAGTTTAAGGTGCCAGAATTCATCAAATATATAGGAACTCAATGCCCTGCAACTCATCTCAAAGCATACTGTAATAAAATGGCTGAGGTAGTCTATGAAGAGAAACTATTGATTCACTTCTTTCAAGGCAATTTGAGTGGCATGCCTTTACTTGGTATATGCGGTTGGATAATACCAAGGTAAAGAAGTGGAAGGACTTAGTTGATGCCTTCATTAGGCAATATAAGTTCAATATGGATGTAGGCTTTGATAGGTCAAGCTTGCAAGCTATAAAAAAGGACAACAAGGAGTCCATAAGATAATACATTAAAAAAAGTGGCGTGAGATTGCCACACAAGTTAGTCCTTCTTTATTGGAAAAGGAGATGATCAATTTGTTTGTCAACACTTTCAAGGCCCTGTACTTTGAATACCTAGTTGAAAGCCTTGCACAATATTTTTTTTTACTTGGTTGTTATAGCTGAGAGGATCGAACAAGCTATCCATTTAGGAATGGTTGCTGAATCGATTGAGAAGAAAATGTTTCACTAAAAAAAAAAAAAAAGAAACCAAGGTTCACAATGTGAAATGTGATTACAAAAATGAGAGAAAGAGCTACCAAAACAAAGACATCTAAAGGTCACTCGTCCTGAAAATGAAGCTATAGTGTCACTAAGCCAAGACTAATCTATGTGTGACCTTAACTGACTATTAGAAAGGTGCCCCTATCAAGGAATTCAAAAGAGAGAGATGGTTGGAAGATTCTAGAAATTTCAATCGATGATTACTAAGTATTTAGCCCTTTTATGTGTAACCTTGCTAGTATAAGTCTCTGTTTTTGTCCTTCACTTGCGTCTTTACAGCCAAAATATCCTGAAATGGGTTCCCTCTAAGAACTCACAAATACACTTTTGAAGCCTCGCGTGATCTCATTGGAGTTTTGAAAAATTGATCTGGCATTTTGATTTCAAAAGTAATTTGATGTTTATTTAAAAAATGATATTTTTGACATTCTACTTGTAGAATGACAAGTGAATCAAGCAACTCCATCATTGAGGTGACTAAATTATAAACAAAAAAATTATGAAAAAAAAGAAAAAGAAAAAAGAAATGAATAAACACCTTTACCCTATTACTCTTGAATCATGTGTTTTTTTTAAATGTATGAATAATGGTATGTAGTGAACTTGTTGCTCATAACTTATGAAATGCATCTTTGCAAAGAATAAACCATCACACTATATGAGGTCAATGTTTATTGATCATAGCTGTTTGCACTTGAAATGAGGAAAGACCATTTTTGTTATTCCTTTCATGTTCTAAAAAATAAGTACATCCCTTGCAAACCCTTTTTGAGCTTGAATAATTTTTTCTTTCATAAAAAAAAAATTCTGACTAGGTTCACACCCTACACTAGGGGCAAGTGAAATTTCAATGATCAAGAAAGATGATAAAGCCGTAAGAAAGCAAAAAAAAAAAAGCCTAAGAAACTCAAATGCTAGGGGGCATGCCCAAATCACAAGAAAAAGTGATAACCAAGATAAAGTGAGTATGCTCTATAGCAAAGCAATGAAAAAGAAAAAAAAAGCAGCAAATCAAATAAGAGTGGCAAAAGAAAATATGAATGACATCAATAGTCAAATTATTAATAGTGATCCTCAGTCTTTGAAGCCCTGAAACACTCTTTGAGCCTTATGAATCCTTTTCTTTCATAACCAAAAACCACAGCCTACGTTACGTGCCTATAGAAGTCCTTTCTAATCAAGCAAGCAAGCAACCTAAAATAATAAACAATGCTCTCAAAATGCAAAGAATACTTTTTCATAAGATTCATGTCATCAAGAATAAACTACTCATTATTATTCATGTTGATAAAAATAAATGTGCAAAAAGAGACAAGTTCTTCTCATACAAAACCTCAAGCTTTTTTCTCGAGTCCTGCACTTTGAAAACCTATAAAAATAAAAGGTTATAATATCATGACATATTTTCACCAAAGACCTCATTGCCAAACACAATAGCAAATAATCTCTTTTTCAAGAAAGAAAAATAACCAAGGAGTTGCAAGAGTTCAAAAGTAAATTGTTATTGGACTCACATCAAAATAATTTTTATTTTCAAAATGCAAGATCAAGATTTCAAGATTCATTCTAGAACCATATTCCTCCACCAAATTGAAAAGGAGAGAAATAAGAGAATGGCCTCTTAAAACCTTTATTTATCTAAGTCATTGATATAAGCACACTTAGAGGCAATAACCAATACAAGGGGGTAACATTGTGTTTAGAAGGAAAAATTCTAGAAAAGGAGATGGTAATTTCCTTCAACTAAATAAGGGGGCATTTTGGTTTACAAAAGATAGCTCGATCCTTTCAGCAAGTGACACCGAATGTTTCTAGTAGTAAAACGAGGAGTAATGAGTGCTCCTCTCAAATTATTTGACGAATCAGAAAATATTTAGCAAGCAAATGGGTCACGATGGGCACCATAAATGCTGAGTTGTGCAAACAAATTTGGAAATAGACTTACATGGGCCAACTCGAGTGGGCTAAAAAGCTAAACGACAAAGATGAACTCAAATCACATAGCAAGATCTCACCAACCAAGCAACGAGAACATTAAGAAGAAATGGGGGGCCTATATTTCAAATCAGGTAAAGATGCATGCATATCATTTAAACTTTAAGACATTGGACAATGAGTTTTGCAAATTTTATTAGAGAAAACTCTAACAGAATCCATCAAGCGGAAGGCCAACTTGAAATTGCAAACATTGAAATTGCTTTTGAAAAATTTTCACTTTTTAGATTTTTTCAACCTAGGCAGGCTGCCCATGAGAATTAGGCCACCTGAAAAAACTCTCTATTTTTCCACCACTTTTCAGTTTCCACTCCTGAGGTAGTGCATTTCCTATCTTAACTCCTTTTAAGTTCTTTTCGAGTGCGCCTTCAAGCCCTCGACCATCATAGGTAGTGCATTTCCTATCCTACCTCCATTCGAGCGTGCCTTCGAGCCCTCAACCATTCTCCATTCGAGCGCGTCTTCGAGCCCTCGACCATCAAAGGTAGTGCATTTCCTATCCTACCTTCATTCAAGCGTGCCTTTGAGCCCTCGTCTTATCTCCATTCGAGCGCGCCTTCGAGCCCTCGTCTTATTTCTTTTCAAGAGCGCCTTCGAGCCCTCGACCATCAAAGGTAGTGCATTTCCTATCCTATCTCCATTTGAGCATGCCTTCGAGCCCTCGTCTTATTTGCATTTGAGCGCGCCCTCGAGCTCTCGACCATCAAAGGTAGTGCATTTCTTATCCTACCTTCTTTTGAGTGTGCCTTAGAGCCCTCATTTCCCTCGAGCTTCTATCTATTGAATAGTGTGCCTTCGAGCCCTTATTTCCTTCAACCATCTAGGTAGGTAACCCATTACAATATACCAACTGGGCAGGTGACCCATTACAATATACCAACTGGGCAGGTGACCCATTACAATGTGATCATCTGGGTAGGTAACCCATTACAATATACCAACTGGGCAGGTGACCCATTACAATGTGACCATCTAGGTAGGTAACCAATTACAATATACCATCTGCGCAAGTGACCCATTACAATGTGACCATCTGGGTAGGTAACCCATTACAATATACCAACTGGGCAGGTGACCCATTACAATGTGACCATCTGGGTAGGTAACCCATTACAATATACCAACTGGGCAGGTGACCCATTACAATGTGACCATCTGGGTAGGTAACCCATTACAATATACTATCTGGGCAGGTAACCCATTACAATGTTACCATCTGGGTCGGTAACCCATTACAATATACCATCCTATCTGGGCCAGTAACCCATTATAATATACCACCTTATATTGGGCAGGTAACCCATTACAATATATTATCACAAAAAAAAACTCCTTGTATTTTTATTCTTCATCGGACAGGTCACTTGGAACAATTAAACCACTTGTGAAATTCTTCGCATTTCTTTTATCATTGGGCAGGTTGCCCAAAACAATTTGATCCAATTCAAAAAAAAAAAGTTGGTCATCTTCCAAATGTCTTGTTCTCTTTATAAAAGTCATACGTCAATCTATTATTTTCGAAGTTTTCAAGACTCTAAAAAAAAAAACTTTCCGTATCTACTTTTCTTTATAAATTTACTACACAAAGCTAAAGAAAATGAAAATTTTTCAATATCTTTGCATTGTAAATATTATAAAGAGGGGGCAACTGTCATAGCCCAATTTTGACCCTTTGGCTTTTAATTTAATTTTCACAGGGTTTAAAATAAAAAATTAAAAGATCAGAGATTTATTTTGATGAAAAGTGTGATTTGTCAACTTTCATGAAAATTAAAGACTACAATGTGCTTTTGTCATTCTATCTTTATCTTCAAGATAATCCCTATCTTCAAGATAATCTTTATCTTCGAGATAATCCTTGTTTTTAAGATAATAATAGTTATCCGCTTTCAAATTTGATTCTTAATCAAATTCAAACTTCAAAGAAGAGAATGAGTTTGATTGAAACTTGGTTTCTCACACGAGAAGGGACTCTGGCACTATAAATACAAATCTCAGGGCATGAGAAAGAAAAAATGAAAGAGGAGGGAGGACGATTAGAGAGAAATCCTAAAAGAAGAAACCTCAAGAGGAGGCCATTAACAAAAACCCTAAAAGAGAGAAACATAAAAAAAAAGGGGTGGCAAAACCTATACTAGCCGCCGCCCCCCTCAACACTTTTTCTTCCCAGTCTCCCTCGACTTCGCCTTCAGCAACCACACGCCCATGTAAGTTTCCTTCTTTTCTTGCTAAAATAATTAACTGGTTACTATGTTTGCTAGGGGTATGCTTGGCAAGCATAATTTTTATGCCTTGGCTATAATTTTTATGTCCATTAGTGACAGATGTATTAAGTAGCCATGTTTCCCCTGTATATAATAATGCTGTTACGATCTCAAATTCAACAAAATCCCAAACAAGCACTTCAAAATGAAGATTTGAGCCTTGACGGTTCTCTCTCTATTGCTGTCCCTTTTCAGCTGAGCAGTGTGGAAGCCAGGTTGGGGGTGCCCTGTGTCCGGAGGTCGACGTTGTAGCCAATTTGGTTGGTGTGGCAACACTAATGATTACTGTGGTACCGGCTGCCAAAGCCAGTGCGTCGGCGGCGGCGGCGGAGGAGACCTTGGCAGTATCATCTCAATTCTCAAGTGAGAAGTTTGATGAGATGCTTAAACATAGAAATGATGGTGGATGCTCTGGCAAGGGATTCTACACTTTCAATGCTTTCATCTCAGCTGCCAGTGCCTTCTCTGGCTTTGGCACTACCGGTGATGCTGACACTCTTAAAAGGGATATCGCTGCTTTCTTGGGCCAAACCTCTCATGAAACAACTGGTTCGTTTAATCAGTCTCAAACCTAATCAATCAGCTTAGTTTATATACTTATTAACATTTTCATAACCCAATTTTGATCCTTTGACTTTTAATTTAATTTTTATAGGATTTAAAATAAAAAAAATTAAAAAATAAAGATTTATTTCGATAAAAAATATTATTTGTCAACCTCCGTGAAAATTAAAGATTACAATATACTTTTATCATTCTATCTTTATCTTCGAGATAATTTTTATCTTCGAGATAATCCTAATCTTTAAAATAATAATAGTTATCTGCTTTCAAATTTGATTCTTAATCAAATTCAAATTTCAAATAAGAGAATGAGTTTGATTGAAACTTGGTTTCTCACACGTGAAGGGACTCTGACACTATAAATACAGATCTTAGGGGGAAAGGAAAAAAAAAAGAAGGAACCCGAGAATACAGAATTAACCTAGAAAAACAGAGCAAAAGAAATAAAAGAAGGAAGGAGGACGATTAGAGAAAAACCCTAAAAAAAAAACCTTAAGAAGAGGTCATTACTAGAAATCTTAAAAGAGAGAAACATAAAAAAGAAGGGGGGGCGAACCCTATACTAGCCATCGCCCCCTCAATCCTTTTTCTTTCAAGTCTCCATCGACTTCATCTTCAGCAGTCACATGCTTAGGTAAGTTTCCTTCTTTTCTTGCTAAAATAATTAACTGGTTACTGTGTTTGCCGGGGGTGTGCTTGGAAAAAGAGGGTAGAGAGGAGGACTAAAGGGACAACAAGAGGAAAACAGAGGAAGAGAAAATAGCATCAGCAGGCCGACCCCCCACTATCATTATCATTTTCAATTACAGCATCAGGTAAGTTTTTTTTCCCTCCTCGCAGTTTAATTACATGCTTCCTATAGCAGACCTACGTGAGCAATTCACGCACGCCTGCTGGTAAAAATTAAAAAAAAAATGGCAAGCCGAGTCAAGCTTGTGACATTGCTAGGCCTGTTGGGTCCAGCCCAGCTCTATGGGTTGAGTTAGGCCCTACCCAAAAAAAAATATGAAAATAAAAAATATATATGCATGAATAAAAATAATATAAATTTATTGCTTTATTTACTGACGTTAGAGTCAGGAATAAAAATACCGATTTAAATTTATATTATTCTTATTCGTTGTATTTTATTTTATTTAGCTAGAAAAATAAAAAAAATATGTGCATGTGTAAAA